TCAAGTATTTTTTTTTTTTGAGATGGAGTCTCACTCTGTTGCCTAGCCTGGAGTGCCGTGGCACAATCTCAGCTCCACCTTCCCTCCCAGGTTCAAGCAATTCTCCTACCTCAGCCTCCCATGTAGCTGGGATTACAGGCACACACCACCATGTCCTGCTGATTTTTTTGTATTGTTAGTTGGGATGGGGTTTCCCCACGTTGGCCAGGCTGGTCTTGAACTCCTGACTGGAAGTGACCTGCCTGCCTCAGCCTCCCAGAGTTCTGGGATTATAGGCATGAGCCACCGCGCCTGGCCATTCAAGTATCTTTTCTGACTACCATGCAATACAACTAGAAATCAATAACAAGAACAACTTAGGAGACTATACAAATATGCGGAAATTTAACAACATGCTCATGAACAACCAGTTGGTCAATGAAGAATTAAGAAGGAATTAGAAAATTTGTTGAGACAAATGACAGTGGAAACAACATACCAAAATGGGGATACTGCAAAAGCAGCACTAAGAGGAGAGTGCACGGCAATGAACATCTACATCGGAAAAGCAGCACTAAGAGGGGAGTGCACGGCAATGAACATCTACATCGGAAAAGCAGCACTGAGAGGGGAGTGCACGGCAATGAACATCTACATCGGAGAAGCAGCACTGAGAGGGGAGTGCACGGCAATGAACATCTATATCAGAAAAGTAGGAAGAGCTGAAACTAGAAAACCAGGACAAACAAAACCCAGAACTAGTGGAAGGAAAGGAATAATAAAGATCAGAGCAAAATAAATGAAATAGAGTCAGGAAAAAATAAAAATAAAAGACTAACAAGAGTTGTGTTTTTTTTTTCTTTTCAAAAGATAAAATTAACGAACCTTTAGCTAGACCAAGGGGGAAAAAGGACTCAATAAAATCGGAGACAAAAAGATGTTGCAACTGACAGTACAGAAATAACAAAGAATCACTAGGAGCTATTACAAATAACTGTGCCAACAAATTGGAAAACCTGGAAGAAGTGAATAAGCTTCTGGACACATGCCACCCACCAATACTGAATCATGAAGAAATAGAAAACCTGAACCGACCAATAATGAGTAATGAGATTGAATCAGTAGTAAGTCTTCCATCAAAGAAAAGCCCGGGACCAGATGTCTTCATTGCTGAATTCTACCACACATTTAAAGAACTAATATCAGTTCTTCCCAAATTATTCCAGAAAATTGAAGGAGAGAGAATTCTTCCAAACTCATTCTACAAGGCCAACATTATCCTGATACCAAAGCTAGAGAGGGACACAAGAAAAAACTACAGGCTAGTGTCCCTGATGAATATAAATGCAGAGATTCTTCGCAAAATACTAGCAAACCAAATCTGATAGCTACACATTAAAAAAAATATCAGAAGACAGCAAGTGTTGGTGAGGATGTGGAGAAAAGGGAACTTTTACACACTGCTGGTGGGAATGTAAATTTATACAGTCATTATGGAAAACAGTTTGGAGGTTCTTCAAAAAGTTGAAAACAGAACTACTATGTGATCCAGCAATCCCAATACTGAATGTATATCCGAAGGAAATGAAATTCAGTGTATCAAAGAGCAATCTGCACTCCCCTGTTTATTGCAGTGCTATTCGTGATAGCCAAGATATGGAATCAGCTTAAATGTCCATCAGCAGCTGGGCACAATGGCCCATGCCTGAAATCCTAGCACTCTGGGAGGCTGAGGTATGCAGATTGCTTGAGGCCAGGAGTTTGAGACCAGCCTGGCCATCATGGTAAAACCCTGTCTTACTAAAAATACAAAAATTAGCCAGGCACGGTTGTAATCCCAGCTACACTGGAGGCTAAGGCAGGAGAATCCCTTGAACATGGGAGGCAGAGGTTGCAGTGAGCCAAGGTCATTCCACTGCACTCCAGCCTGGGTGACAGAGTGAGACTCTGTCTTCAAAAAAAAAAGTCCGTCAACAGGTTAATGGCTAAAGTTAATAATGGCTAAAGATAATGGGGTATATATACACTATGGAAGATAATTCAGCATTAAAAATGAATGAACTTCTTTGAATGTTGGCAACATGGATAAACCTGGAAGGTGTTACATTAAGTGCAATAAGCCAGGCACAGAAAGACAGCTATCACACCATCACATGCTATTACTCATGTAATCCAAAAAGTTGTTCTCATGGAAGTACAGAGTTGAACAGTGGTTGCCAGAGGATGGGGAGGGTAGGAGGAAGAAGGGGATGGAGAGAGATTGGTCAGCAGGTGCACAGTTAGTTAGATATGAGGAATAAGGTCTGGTGTTCTGTTGCATCAGATGACAAGCGTTAACAGCAGTGTGTGGGGTATTTCAGAATAGCTGGAAGAGAGGTTTCTAATGTTCTCATCACAAGGAAATGGTAAATATTTAAGGTGATGGATATGCTAAGTACTTTGTTGTGATCAATGCTCAATGTATTCATGTACCAAAATAACCCATTGTACACCGTAAATATGTACAATTATGTATCAATCAAAATTTTTTTATAAGGTGAAGACACTAGAGTAGCTACATAAATCAAATTTTTTCAAAAGTTTACTTTTCTTTTATATGAGCAGATTACCAAATATGGATTGTTTGGTGTATCTTAGAATAAAAGCCACATTCTTTTGTAGCTTTGGCTCCTCAGGGACATTTATTGTGAGGAAGAAAGTCTTCGGCTTTATCCAGAGGAAATTATAGTTAGACCTTAGTACTCAAAATTTTTTTTTTTTTTTTTTTTTCATTGTTGAGACGGAGTCTCACTCTGTTGCCTAGGCTGGAGTGCAGTGGCGTGATCTTGGCTCACTGCAACCTCTGCCTCCTGCATTCAAGTGATTCTCCTGCCTCAGCCTCACGAGTAGCTGGGATTACAGGCATGTGCCACCACACCCAGCTAGTTTTTTTGTGTTTTTAGTAGTGATGGAGTTTCTCCATATTTCTCAAGCTGGTCTCAAACTCCCGACCTTGTGATCCACCCACCTCAGCCTCCCAGAGTGCTGGGATTATAGGCATGAACCACTGCACCCAGCATGCTCAGAGTTTCTAAGATGTCAACGCCGTTTCTAATTTTGGAATCAAAGCCCTAGGATGAGAGAGTACTTAATGTTTGCTTTTGGGATTTATCATGATGTTCTTGTTTTGCTTTGAGACAGAGTCTCACTCTCATTGCTCAGGCTGGAGAGCAGTGGCATGATCTCGGCTCACTGCAACCTCTGCCTCCTGAGTTCAATTGATTCTCCTTTCTCAGTCCTCTGAGTAGCTGGGATTACAGGGGTGTGTCACCACACCCAGCTACGTTTTGTATTTTTTGGTAGAGATGGGATTTTGCCATGATGGCCAGGCTGGTCTTGAACTCCTGACCTCAGGGGGTCCATCTGCCTTGGCCTCCCAAAGTGCTGGGATTATAGGCCTGAGCCACTGCGCCTGGCCTCATGATGTTCTTTAATAGTTAACCTTGTAGATCTGTACAGAATGAATCAGAACACAGGTATGCAGAGTCGCTTCATGAGTCAGACTGATTCTCAGGCCTGTGAGACCAGATTGTAACATATTGGCATGTGAAAACTGTGTCACTAAGAAATCTTTCTTCCTCAGCTAGTTAGCTCTGAGGAAGAAAAACGCATAGGATATACAGAGTCACTGAGCAAAAGTTGGCAGTCCGTTGGCCTCTGCAATGGCCATCTCTTACAGTATAACCATAAATGACATTTTAGTGACCACCTTTGTCCTAGAGTTTCTGTTCTTCACTATGTTGTAGTTAGTGCTTGGAAATATAGTAAATCAGAAATCGCTTTTGGCCTTTTTTATTAGGCAAAAGATGTCTGGTTCTGAGCGGATGCCTTCATCTTTTTGTATCTTGTGCAGATACTGTCATTGTTAAGAAATAGATCTTACAGCCCAGCATGGTGGCTCATGCCTGTAATCCCAGCACTTTGGGAGGCTGAGGCGGGCAGATCACCAGGTCAAGAGATGGAGACGATCCTGGTCAACATGGTGAAACGCCGTCTCTACTAAAAATACAAAAATTAGCTGGATGTGGTGGTGCATGCCTGTAGTCCCAGCTACTCGGGAGACAGGCAGGAGAATCCCTTGAACCCGGGAGGCGGAGGGTGCAGTGAGCCAAGATCGGGCCACTGCACTTTAGCCTGGTGACAGAGCAAGACTCCATCTCAAAAAAAGAAAAAAAAAGGAAGAGAAATGGATCTTAGGACAAGTGTAGTGGTACACATCTGTAATCCCAGCTGTTTGGGAGGCTGAAGTGGGAGAATCACTTGAGGAAAGGAGTTGGAGACCAGCCTGGGCAACATAGTGAGACTCCATCCCTACAAAAAATTTAAAAGTTAGCTGGGTGTGGCGGTATACACCTGTAGTTCCCAGCTACTTAGGAGGCTGAGGTGGGAGGATCACCTGAACCTGGGAGATTGAGGCTGGTGTGGCGGTATACACCTGTAGTTCCCAGCTACTTAGGAGGCTGAGGTGGGAGGATCACCTGAACCTGGGAGATTGAGGCTGGTGTGGCGGTATACACCTGTAGTTCCCAGCTACTTAGGAGGCTGAGGTGGGAGGATCACCTGAACCTGGGAGATTGAGGCTGCAGTGAGCTGTGATCATGCCACTGCACTTCAGCCTGGGAGACACAGTAAGACCCTGTCTCAAAAAATAAAAATGTATCTGAACAGGTTATACCCCTATAAACTTAGGGTTATAAGCTACTTATGTGAGGACTGAGTGGGACAGTAGATGAAAATCACTTTACGAAGCATTATGTACCATTTGAATGTGAGGGTTTTTGGTTTTTGCTTTTCGTCTTTATGTTAGTATTGTTCACAGCTGTAATTCTCTCAGAATTGAGTCTTCCCCCAAGTAAAAATTAATAGGGAAGAGAATGTTAGGATGTGGGGCAGGAGGCTCCTCGGCTTAGACCTTCTTTGATATGATCAAGATCAGGTACAACAAAGGTAACTAACCATCGGTGTAATTGATGCCTTTGCAGGAGGGAGCACTGGCAGTTGCTTGGTAATTTGAAGACTACGGTGGAAGGCTTGGTATCAGCCAACAGCCCCAATGTCTGGTCCAAGTGTGGTGGCTTGGAGCGGCTTTGCAGGGACATGCAGAGTATCCTCTATCATGGGCTTATCCATGACCAGGTACGCAGAACGCCTTTTTTTGCACTATTGGCTGACTCGCTTGTTGAGAAGAAACAGTCACATTGGCAGGAAGGAGATGAAGGCCACTAGTCTGTGAACTCCTGGGAGCAGCTGTGACTTAATACATACAGTTTTTTTTGTATACAGAACATTTCACATAGTGTCTGATGTACCATAGATGTTAAAGGAAGGAATAAATCACTGGGTAGGACAGCAAATCAGCAACAAGAGATTAGCTCAGCTTGTAAGTTTCCTGTTGTTCCTATAACAAATAACTACAAATAATGACTTAACACAGACTGATCACCTTGCGGTTCTTGCGATCAGAAGTCTGGAATGAGTTTCACGGGGCTGAAACCAAGGCTCTGCAGGCCTCACTCCCTCTGGAGACTCTGGGGGAGAATCCATTTCCTTGCGTTTTCCAGCTTCAGTAGGTTACCTGCATTCTTTGGCTCCTGGCCACTTCCTGCATCTTCAGAGCCAACAGCATAGCACCTTCAAATCTCTTTCTGCCCCCTTTTTTGTTTGTTTTTTAAGACAGAGTCTCACTCTGTCACCCAGGCCGAAGTGCAGTGACACAGTCACGGCTCTCCACAGCCTGGACCTCCCAGGCTCAAGCAGTCCTCCCACCTCAGCCTCCCAAGTAGCCAGGGCTGCAGACGCCCACCACCACAACCAGCTAATTTTGGTATTTTTTGTAGAGGCAGGACTTTACTATGTTACCCAGGCTGGTGTTGAGTTCCTGGTCTCAAGTGATCCTCCTGCCTCAGCCTCCCAAGTGCTGGGATTACAGGCATGAGCCACTGCGCCTGCAGCCTCCCGAGTGCTGGGACCACAGAGTTGCCCCAGCCTCCCAAGTGCTGGGATTACAGGCATGAGCCTGGCTCTCTCTGCTTTTACAACCCTTTCTTCCCTTATGCCCATTCCTGTCTCCCTCCTAAAACGACTTTTAAAATTACATTGGGCCCATGTGGATAACCCAGTATAATCACCCCATCTCAAAATCCTGAATTTAAATACACCTGCGAGGTCCCTTTTGCCATAAAAGGTAAGATTCACGGGTTCTGGGAATTAGGATGTAGATATCTTGGAGGAACGATCTTAGCCAACCATAGCCAGGAAGCTTTTTCTTCTGAATATTAGTTTTGATTTTAAAACCATGCTGTTTTTTTCAGAAGTAGGTAGGATAAAGGAAGAAAAACAGCCAGCCAAGGCCAAAATATGTTCACGTATTTCTGACTTTCATTCGTGAAATGTTTCTACAGAATGAGAAGGTGGCCAGGTGCGGGGGCTTACGCCCGTAATCCCAGCACTTTGGGAGGCCAAGGGGGACAGATCACTTGAGATCAGTTCAAGACCAGCCTGGGCAACATGGCGAAACTCTGTCTCTACTAACATTACAAAAATTAGCTGGGCATGGTGGTACACACCTGTAATTCCAGCTATTCAGATGACTGAGGCAGGAGAATCACTTGAACCCTGGAGGCAGCGGCTGCAGTGAGCTGATATCCTGCAGCCCTGCGCTCCAGCCCTGGCAACAGAGTGAGACCGTATCTCAAAAAAAAAAAAAAAAAAAAAGAATGAGAAGGTGAAACTCCATGTGCTCAGTTACATTAAAAGTACTTTCCTGGCTAGGTGCAGTGGCTCATGCCTGTAATGTCAGCACTTTGGAAGGCCAAGGTGGGCAGATCACAAGGTCAGGAAATTGAGACCATTCTGGCCAACATGGTGAAACCCCATTTCTACTAAAAATCCAAAAAAAATTAGCTGGGCGTGGTGGTGCATGCCTGTAGTCCCAGCTACTCAGGAGGCTGAGGGAGAATATTGCTTGAACCCAGGTGGCAGAGATTGCAGTGAGCTGAGATCACACCATTGCATTGCACTATAGCCTGGGCGACAATGTGAGATTCTGTCTCAAAAAAAAAGTACTTTCCTGTGGGAAATCCTTTTACCTAGAAGACAGTGTGTTCCAGTGATAATTAATTGCTTAAGTACAATAAGATTGGTGTGATTAGAATTAATGTCTCTTTCCTGAAACAAAATAAGCAGTTCTTCCTTTGATTCTTTTTGGATTTAGAATTTTCATCTTGTTCCCTAAATTTAGACTTCTATTATTACTATCTTTACTTCAAATTAGTAATAGGAAGAAAGAATTATGTACTTTCCTTGTAGGGATAGTGAGACTTTATTCTCAAAATATATGTGAAAACTAGCAGGCATAAAAGTGACTACAGAAAAGAGGAGTTAGTGGTTAACTCATGTTAACTACAACACGAGCATTTAGTAGGTAGTGTGGCTCAGGGTAGAGCCAGACTGCCTGGATTGACTTTCCAGCTCCTTCATGTATTGCTAACCTTGGGCAAAATGCTTAACATCTTCGTGCTTTGGTTTTCTTACCAGTAAATGAGGTAGTATCTGTCTACCTCCAGGCCTATGAGGATTAAATGAGTTAATGTATGTAAAGCATTAAAGGATTGGAAGAGCTATCCCAGTATGTGCTGTGATGAGGAGGAGGAGGAGGACACAAGGACTCATTAGAGTTTTCCTCCTAGCATCCTAGGACACATCCAAGAAATATTCATAAAATACTGTCCTATCTAGAATGCCCTTTGAGTTTTACTTTATAGATACCTTGTTGATGCTTATGAATGGTAGTTTGATTGTAGCTTAAATTTTTACAAGGTAAACTTTATTGATGTTGAGTTTCTTTTTCTTTATATGCTCAAAAACTCTAATCAGCTTTGAGCTTTGAAATGAGTAGAATCTAATAATACTTAAAGGTTTCTGCTTTCTCTTTGGCAGTTACTCCATTTGCAGTGTTTTAAATAAATTTTGGTTTTGGATAAAATTTGAACTGAGTCATTAGGGTTTGGTATCCTCTTACTTTTTAAAAAAATCAGACCTCACAGATACAGAGTTAACTGCATGTTCTCAAACACTCACATCCCCTGTCAGGGCCTAGTATAGTTCCTTGAACTCCAAGCTCATCTTTCTTTTTTATCAGAATTTATTCTCACTTAGCAATTACATTGGAAAAGAGCTAATCAACTAAATGGTATTAAAGTATGTATACTTGGCTGGGTGTGGTGACTCATACCTGTAATTCCAGCGCTTTGGGAAGTTGAGGCAGGAAGATTACTAGAATTTTGAGGCCAGGAGTACAAGACTAGCCTGGCCAGCACAGTGAGACCCCTATCTCTAAAAAATTTAAAAACTAGCCAGCCATGGTGGTGCATGCCCATGGACTCAAGCTACTCAGGAGGCTGAGGTGAGAGGTTTGCTGAAGCCGGGGCGGGGTGGGGGTGGGGGCTGAGGCTGCGGCTGCAGCTGCAGCAAGCTACGATTGTGCCTCTGTACTCCAGCCTAGGTGTCAGTGAGATTCTGTCTCAAAAAAAGCAAACCCAAAACAATAAAAAGTACCATTCTAGGAATATCGAGGCAACGTTGTATAATAGATTGACAAAAGTCTTTGGAATCTATTAGAACCCAGATCACAATCTACACTCATTGCTCAGGTCCATAGGAAATAAAGTGACATAGTAGTTAAAATTGTGGACTTTTGAATCACGCTGCTCACATGTTAATCTTAGCTTCACCATTAACTGTATGGTGCTGGGCAGATTATAACTCTTTTGTCTTTATTTCCTTTTTTTTTTTTTTTTGAGACTAAGTCTCACTCTGTCGCCCAAGCTGGAGAGCAGTGGCGCAATCTTGGCTCACTGCAACCTCCACCTCCCAGGTTCAAGTGATTCTCCTGCCTTGGCCTCCCGAGTAGCTGGGATTACAGGCATGCACCACCACACCCAGCTCATTTTTGTATTTTTAGTGGAGATAGGGTTTTGCCATATAGGCCAGGCTGGTCTCAAACTCCTGACCTCAGGTGATCCGCTTGCCTTAGCCTCCCATGTTTCTTCACTTGTAAGATGAGAAGGTAAGGCTACCACCCACCTCAGGGTTCTGGCGAGACTTAGATGAGATAATACATGAAAAGCATTAAAAAGCATAGCTGTCAGTCAATTATGAGGTAATACTAACTTTTTTGAGCCTTTCCCTTTTTATCTATAAAAATGAGGATAGCAGTATCTAGTTCACAATATAAATAAAGGTTGATGGAAAAATTAAATGAAATGGCATGCAAATTTGCCTAGCATTTTTTGTGGCATGGAAGATATGTTTCTTTCATTTTTTAGTCTCCAGTTAGCTGGAGTCCTCTGGGAAAAAAATAAGAACACTGGAATTTGCAAAACACATCAGCCCACCAAAATCTGATTTCTGCCCTTACCACTGGTGATCTCACACTGAGATTTAAATAAAATGAAATCCACGTTATCAAATCCAATGAACCTTCCTCCTTTAAACATCATCCTGTGTTCAACACTGTGGCCGTCGTGACACCTTGACTGGTATGACATTGTTTTCTGCTGTTAGAGACGTTGTCCTACCTCTGTGACCACCCTCGGTTTCTTTCCGGGGAATTCCTTCCTCTTGGAATTTTTTTGATGGAATTCTTCCGTCTTACTGTGTGTGCTTTCCTGAAGCAGTCTCACCCACTCGGCCTGCACCCTCTCTCACCCATCGACGGTCCCCACCTCAGGCATCTGCTGAGCCTAGATCCAGAGGACTCCCTGTCGCCTGTACGTTGCTGTCCGGCTGTCTGGCTTTCAAGGCTGAGCACAGTATGACCAAAACTAAACTCGTTTTCTCTCATGAGATCGCCCGTCTTCTTGATGTTCTTTACACTTGCTTGTGGCATTGACCTACTCAGTCTCCCAAGTCAGAAAGTTGGGAATCATGCCAACATGTTTCGCAGAAAAGAATCTCAGTGCAAGTTTCCCAGGCTGCTGACCGAAATAGCTACCAGATTAGTGGTACTGCTATTCAGTGGGTCAGATACTTGTGTCCTAATAGCAAATGGGTTCTTTTTTAGGCCTTGTTACTAATATTAAGCTGTCATCTAGAGTAATCACTTAACCATGTTACATGACAGTTTCACCATCTGT